GCCTATATTCATTTGCTCTTCCAAGCAAATATTTTCAGTTCACTTTGTAAGTACCTCCATTTCAGAATCATTCTGTGAAATAGTGATGAGCTAATTTCCCCCCCATTTATTAAGAGAAGAAAAAGTCATTGCATTTTCCTGAGTCCCCTGGCCTAACCATAGGAAGGGAATCATTCTTCCTGGGTTTATTTTGAAATGGCTTGTGACACACGTTATGGCCAGGTGTTACCAAGGCCATTTCTGGAATTTCAAAATCGAGCTGTTTCCTCTCCCTGATTGGCTCTGATGTGAGATCCAGAAGTAAAAAGTTCCTCTGGTCATTGTCAGTGTAGTGACCACAGTTAGCTTTGGACGTGTCCATCCCCAGAAGGCACATCTTTCCAGCCAGAGGTGGAGCTGGAAGAGGGTTGTCCTTGTGCCTGTAATGTCTCCATTCTCCTCTTCTCCCCAATTCACTCTGGCATCCAATTGCCTTTTGACCTCACTGTTCCCTCTCCCATCACCGGTACTGCTCTCCTCGTATAATGAACACAGGGCCGTCACCCACAAAGGGGCCCCTCAGGGGCTTCAGCACTCACAGCCAGAGCAGGCTTCCTGGCAGTAAGATCATGGCATGGCTCTGCTTTCTGTCCTTTAAAAGATCTCTTCCACCTCCAGTCTTGAATTTGGATTGAAACTCCCTTTGTGTTAACTGATCTACCAAGTTCCCCAAAGGTTGCCCCACCCATTTGAGCGCCCCACTAGCCTTCTTCCTGTTGCCAGTCAGTCCACACTCACTTGTCGCTGTGGCAACTTAGCACCTAATATTTCTGTGTAATGGAATGTTTATCCAGAGACTGTTCCTTAACACTTCTCTAAAGAACATGTTATGGTTACTTACTGTCCATCTATAGACACATTCACACCCAGCTACACGCCCGAGTATCAATACCCATCCCTCAGTAGCTAGCACATAGTAGGTAATTAATATATAAATGGGTTGCAGGTGGCACTTAGTCTGGGCATAGGCTTTGTGGGTGCTCCATCATCTATTAATCTTCTTAACTGGCATAGGTTTACTTTAACAGACTCGAATGTGTATCTTTTCCTATAGATCCTTGCCTTTGGGGCAAGTTGTTCACCTAGAAAAACGAGGTGAAAGACAATCGCATTAGTTGCAAATCTGATCCTGTAGAGAAACCAGTTTAGAACTGAATTTATTCTCCTGCCCCAGTTCTTCTGGGAGGCACACTAGACTCCTGAAGAGGAGAGCTGAGGTGACTTTAATTTGAATAATATAGAAGCACCACCTTTCCCCTGAACAGTTTTGGGCTCTAACCTGATAAAGGTCGGCTAATTAGTCAGTTCACAAAAAACAGAAGACGTCGTTTGAACTTCTTAAGACACAGTGTGGCTTCAAACATCCCAGAGTGCCAATAAGATATTAAATAGAGAATATATCTTCAGTTTAATTGAACTTGAGAAGAAACAGGATGAGGTTAATCTTGCTAGATGGGCTATCCAGGAAGCTGTCAGACTTTACAAGTTTAGTCTGTTAGGATGGGTTAGAATATGCCACTTAGTTGGCATTTTATACTCAGTGATAGTTCAGTGGTAATGAGCTTTTTTAGAGTCCATTTTCCTTTGTTTTCTATTATTTTCCACAATTCAGGGATAAAGTTTTGGTGGCATTTAAAATGGACACAGAAGAACTGTTTGACTATGAGGTAGTTTTTCCAAGCTCCTTCCAGATTGTGTCTGTCATTTTTGTGTTTAAATTGAGCTTAAATGAGTCATTTATTGGGGAGATTAGAAAGAGAGTTATAAATTGAAAAGTGGCCCAAGCATGTTTAGTAGACCTCATTCAATAAGACCCTTCATTTAGTAAACTTAAGACATCCAGGTCCTCCATGTTAGAGTTGATTGTATGGGACAGAAACTGATGTTATGTCATGTGGAATCTGTGTGTGTGTGTGTGTGAGAGAGAGAGAGAGAGAGAGAGAGAAAACACATGTGCATGTTTGTGTAGGTGAGAGAAAGCTCACATAGACAGGGTCATAAAAATAGTCCTGTTCTCCAGTTCAGAGCAAAGAATTGAGTGAAAGCAGCTAAAATGAAGTATCATGAGGCAACAGGACAAGAAAAGGAGTGCTCAGTGGAAACAGTGGAACAGGAAGCACAGGGTAACCTCATAAAGAGAAGACATAAGGATCTTTCACATGGAAATCCCGTGGGGCAGCGGGCTCACTTTACTTCCCTGGGGTGACGTTGTAACCAGTCCTCTCAACCTGAAGGACTGGTGAGCTGAAAGTATTAGGGCTGAAGACACCTTTAGCCATGACATGAATTTAGTCTTGGCCAACTGACCCTTCACCTTGACCTCTGCTACTCATTTGAGGGACAAAAAGGGGTGACCATGGAAGGGAGGCAAGCAACCCTCAGAATGCAACAGACTTCTTGTGGTGGGTTTTTGGTGGGGTTTTTGAGTTTTGTTTTGGTTTGGTTTTAAATTTATTTGCTCACTCTTTTAAAATATCCTCCCTTCCCCATAAAAGTTAAACAAAAATAGAATACTAACCATTTAAAAATAGAAAGTAAGTCTCCATTATTTCTATTTACCGCAGCTCATTTCAGAATGATAAAGGCTTTAACTTTTGTCTTGGTTGTTACAAGCACTCTGGGTGCACCATAAGGAGACCTGATGACATAGCAGTTAAGTGCTTGACTGCTAACTGGAAGATCAGCAGATTGAACCCACCAGGTGCTTCACAGGAAAAAGACATGGTCATCTGCTTCTGGAAAGATGTGTGTCCTTAGAAACCGTATGGGGCAGTTCTGCACCACCCTGTGCGGTCACTGTCATTTGGAATTTCTCTCAATGGCTGTGAATCTGCACTTTGTGAGGGGACTTACGTACAATATAAAAATAAAATGTAGATACCTAAGAAAGTAGAAAGATAGGAGTGGAACATTGCTAATTTTACTGTTTTAAAAAAATGAATAGTAATGTGGGTCAACATCAAAATGGGCTTGGACTGTCCATGTTCATTCATGATTGAGACTTTTCCAATAGTACATGGAAGAGAAAAACAGAGTCTCAAGCATATGAGAAAGACAATGAGATTTGTGTCTGTTATTAATATTTTCTGATTCAGAATGTCTTCCACACATCTCCAAAGGAAGTAAGAAGGCAATTATGATCCTTCTAGAGGCAGAAACCTGGCCCTGAAAGGTGAACTTAGGGCCTGTGGGGAGGACACTGGTGGAAGTTGGCAGAATATGTTCTGTTCTATGTCTTAGAATGTCTGTCCATTCAAATCTGGCTAGATACATCCTCAAAAGTCAGCTCTTCCAGTATGCTGTCCATACGAACTTATGGATAGTGTCATCCTCAACCCTCCCCAAAAAGATCAGTGTGTTTGTGTGTTTTCCTGGCATCTTCATCACAGTCTGCTGAACCTTTGTACTTGAGAGGATTAGACCTCTCTTGCTGCTGTGCCATGACCTTGGTGCCAATTTACAATGTGCTCCTCTTGATTTCTCCCACAAGCTCACCGAGTAAGATTTCCGAGATCTGTCCTACCTTCAGTTGAGCATGTCTCCTCTTGCTCAACTCTACCTCCTCGTCAAAACCTGCATTCAAATTTCTAGTTTGTAACAATGAAAGACCAATGTCATCTTTTTTGTCCGCCTTGAACTTTCTTCAGATGCTTGTTTCAAAGCTGGGCCTGGGCAGAAAAGATGGTGTGAGAAGTTAAAAGACCAAGAGTTTGGAAATTTTGAGCAAAATAAAAGATGGAAGCTACATGGAATGAGTGTGAGGAAGATTTGTCTTGATAGGATTGAGTGTAGGGTCTAGTGGGCCGTTTTGGTGCGATAAAAACTTGAGGGGAAGAAAATCATCTAGGGCAGGATTCTTATAAACTATGTAAGCATGCACTGTAAGGATCTGTAAGAGCGGAGCTGTGTTGTTGTAGTTGTTGTGTGCCGTAGAGTCAGAACCCACCCAGGGCTGACCCTGCAGCAGGTTTTCAGAGGCAGGTAATCCCACGGAAGGAGACCACCCATCTCTCTCCCGATTCTCATGTGTCATCTACGACTTTCTTTTCCTCCCACTAGCTTTAGTCCTCCATTGAATCCCCATTTATGCAAAGAATATTTCCTAAAATGGCAAGGGTCTTTGCTGAACAGGTCTTAAGACTCACTCTGTTGAAATTTAAATGAAACTCTTCCCCTTTGAATACTCCTCGGTCTTCTGACAAGTTGAAAATCTGAAGACGTTTGACCCACCTGGAGTTCAACTCCTAAGAAAAGTTTGACCTTCATTTTTAAGCAAGAGGAGTGTCAAGAGTTCAAGAAGTAAAATTTCGTGCCTATGAAATTGATTAGCTGGGAATTAGACATGCTGTTCATAAAGTATTTGTGTCCGTGTAAATGTCGATGGACATAAGGTTCTAGGCATGATTTTTAAATGACCTGATCCTTGTCCTCTTGTCTCTTAAAGTCTGGAAGAACTAATGGAAAATCCATAAGGAGGATTAGTCGCCGTATTATTAAAAGATGCAAGACGTGGAGAAGGAAAGAGCATTTTTAGCACTGATTGTATTTCTCCCAGATAGTATAGATTTACATTTAAACGACTTGTAGTATTTTATGTCACACTTTTTAAAAAAGGAGGGGGAAGATGTTAAAGCTGATACCTTTTGTAATAAATGAGACTGGCATCTTAGCCGAGAGCTGGTGATGAAAATTGGATTTGTTTCCTGCCACAGTGTGGAGAGCAGTATGGTTTGTGATTATGTGTCTCCATCTGGCCCGCCCAGCTCTGTGTCTGCCAATCACCTGGGGATTTATCTGCATTCAGCACTAGCTAGGAGAAAGGTGGAAGCCAAAATGTTGTTGATATATTTATGTATGTGTGTGCAGAAGTGCTGAACAAAGACAAGCTGATGGAGAACCCCCACTCAGAAACCCAGTAATAACCTTGTCTCCCTGCCCCTTTCACTCTCTCGCTTCCGCAGCAACCACTGGAGAGGAAAGACAGCCAGAACAGCTCGCAGCACAGTGCGTCCAGCCACCGGAGCCTGCCCACGGCGTCCCCCGGCCACGGCACACAGGCGCTGCCCGATTACTCACCTGCCGAAGCCCCTGCGCCTGATCACACCGACAGCTCTGGGCAGAAAAAACCAGATCCCTTTAAAATCTGGGCCCAGTCCAGGAGCATGTATGAAAACCGACGTGAGTACCACCTGGGCTCCTGCCCAGCCCACCCCCAGATCCCGCCCCAGGTTTCAAACTTTCTCTCAGGCCCATTAACGATGGATAACTGTCAGCTTGTAATAGACTTAAGTAAAAATAGGATGAGAGGTGAACAGCTCTGAGAGTTGCCCGGAGAAGCTCATTGCATATTCTGGAGGGTCCGTGGTGTCTTCACTCTGCATGGGGGGTAGAAACGGATGGTCATCAAATAAATGGCCTGAATAGAAGTGGATTTCTGTTACCCTTCCATGAAACGAAATCACAGAGAAGAACTGCTGGGTCACTAACTCTTCCCTGAGTGGAGAGTGTGGTATACTGCGAGCTCATGTGTTGTGAAACAGCCCTGATACACTATAGAACATAAATATGATTGGCTTGTCTTGTAGGGATAATGACAGGAAATTAAATGCTTTCTTAGGGCTCTCTTGGTTTTTGTGGGTTTTTTTTACTACATTTCACTAATTCTTTCCCCCTTTTATTTTTCAACATTATCAGCCTCTCTAAAAAATCTTCTAGAAAAGGGAATGGTAGAGACCAGTAATGGTTTTGTGCTTTATTTACACAGTTGTTAAAAGTGTACCTTTGACTTTGTCTTCTCTATAAATATGAGATAGGTGACTATACTCAGGGCTGTCGAGTCAGAACCCTCTCATTACGGACCCTCCAGCTGATTTTCAGAGACAGTAAATCACACGAGAGGAGATTGTCTATCTTTCTTCCACAGAGCCCCCACCTCCAACAGCATCTGCTACCAGAACTCTCACTAGATGAGCTGCTTGTTGTTGTGGTGGTGGTCGTGGTGTACCACCAAGTTGGAACCAAGCTATAGTTGACCCTTCCAAGAACTTTGAGAGGCATTAAATCCCACAGGAGAAGATTACCCATCCTTCTCCCATGGAGCAGCTGGTGGATTTGAACCATTGGCCACACTGTTGCTTACCACGAAACTGTAGGCAAGGTTTGTTCTGAAGCATTGCAGTTTGTATAACATATTCCTCTTGTGTTTAATTTCTTAGTTTTTTTATTATAAAACCATTTTCAAAGAATATTCACTGCAAATAACTCTCATTTATCTTACAAGTGGAAGTTGTCAAAATGCTGCAATTTTAGGCACTATAGATTGGCCTTCTATTACCACGCACTTGATGACATTTTCACATGAAAGGTTCTGTGAGGATGAGGGCTGTGGAGTACATTCCCCCTTTTTTCATGGCTTTGGGGCAGGTGAGAGTGTGTCGTGAAAGAGTGGACTACCTTTGGTGAAGGGTGTGAGAGAAAGGGAAGAGAGAAAAGAATCATTTTCTATCCGCTCTGCGCCTCACCATGCCAGAGATGATGAGGATAGAGCAGGACAGGACAGGGTTCAGGTCTGCTGTATATAGGGTCACGTAACTAGGTGACCAAACACCTAACTAAAACAGCAACAGATGCCCCTCACCATAGGTTTCCTTTATAGTCACAGCTGCAGTTACCATGGAAAGCATGAGAGAGGGGGCTGTCTGAGGGACTTCAGCCTCATGTCCATCCTGGATTAACTGTACTACATTTCTCTTGCTGAGTGAAGCATGCATGCATTGAGACACTTGAACTTTCTGTGAACCAAGAAAAACAAGCAATGAGACCAGCGTACCTTCCTAAGGAGAGTCAGGCATCCTACTGGGTGAAACACCAGGTTCTAGACCATGAAGCAAATGTGGAGGCTTCCCGATGGCCAGATATAAGAAGTACTTCCATGTTTTTCTTCTTCCTGAGAGAAATCCTATTGCCCTCTTCTGTTTACAGTATGTGGAATCACTGATAAGAAAATACATACATAAATAGGCTGAAAGCCAGAAAGTAAGTGTGCATGAAGATTGGTTTCATTCCCAGGCTAGGATGCCTCTCCATTCTCCCGGAGGCCAGGCCCAAGGAAATGAGGCTCCATGTGGAACAAGTGTCCTTAGGAGACGTGGTTGAGTATAGACTCGGAGCCTGTCCTCCCTGTGTCTCCTCACTAATTGCTTCCATTGAAGAAGTGTGGTCCAGGGGGACTATTTCCACATTCCCCTCAAGGTTCTCTCCTAGCCAGACAGGGCAGCTCTTCCAATCAATGGCCCGACTTCACTTGATGTTGAGATATTGCTTTATCGACTGTGTCCCTCCTTTCTCAGTACAGGGCATATTCACGGCTGAGCCTTCCACGTATGGTTCTTTTTGTGATAAACAGTGTTTTGAACTGCTGGCAGGAGCACTGTGGACTGACAGAATATTTGAACCCATCTGTTCAATAAAAGGCTGCAGCTCAAATGCCAGATTCACCCTGCTTTAAGCAGAATCTCCTGAGACTATGATGTTTAATCCAGTTTTTAAAACAAGTGTTAGCCAGGCTGGGGCAAAAAGAAATATCATAAACTCACTGCACCCAGATGTGTGTTGCACTGAAATAATTTAGGTGGCAACCAAATCAAAATGTTTAGAAAGAGGTGCTATTTTTGTTCATCGTGTTCTTTAAAGTCTAAGGGATAGGCTAGAGCAGCTCAGGTGAGAGTCCATTTTCTCCACGTTTTGGGGCACAGGTGGATCACCCAGTAAGCAGGCGAAGCCTGTACTTCCTTGGCCTCACTTACTAATCTGTAGGGAACAATTATCTACTACAGAGTAACAAGTACAAGTAAACTCACACTTGCCTTGCTCTGAGCAGGTAATCTGCCCCTGGCAGGGATGGTAAATTTGACTCAGAAGGTGGGTGCTTTGGAGGTGGAGAGAGACACATGCCAGCCGTACCTCAAAACAGTATCGTTAGAGTGGGAAAGTATGGAATTGTTCACTGCAGATGTGTAAGTAAGCACGAGCAGCCAGTGCTTTCCTTGCTTAGTGGGCTCTGTGATTGAGTGATGATAGCAGCTCGATGGATGGTAAGGTTCTCATGGATTTCTCCTCACTGCTCAATGAGGATAATGATGAGACTGTGCAGGGAGCTAACTATTTGGGGTCTGCTGCAGGGTTCCTCTTTGACAGGGCCTGTGCTTCAGCCAACAGTCTTGTCTTTTAATCAGTGTTTTGTGTTATCTACAGATCTGTTTCTGCCATTAGGTTTTATAGCATGTATTTTGGGCAGGGGTGGAGGTGTGTGGGAAATGCAGTACTGGACCTCTGTTGGGTGTACTTTGCTGATCCACTCTCCCTCAGAGAACTTAATAATATGAGCAGAATAATGCAAGTCAAGGGGGAAGATTGAAATCAGCAGCAGCACCTTAACTCTGCCCTTTGAGTTAAAGATGTATTTTTCTTTCCTTTCATCATACTATTAAAGGCGATATGATGATTAACACAATCCCTGATCACATTCCTTAATGTGGTCCATATACTTGACACAATTCTATATTCTTGCTATAACCATTTTTCAAAACAATAGTGACAAAACGGATCAGTCTGAACTGTAGATGTGATAACGAAGCCTTTGAAGGGCTTATGTGTTTAATGAAAAACAAAGGCAAGTGTTGAAGTCCTTTTGAAGCCATGCTGCCCTGTCCTGTTCTTTTCTCTAGATAACATACTAATTGTGCACATGACTTTTAAAAAAAAAAGACATTGATGGTGTCTTATTAGAAACCAAATGGTCAGAGAAACCAGTGACTATTTAATTGTGTTTACTGCCAAGAAATTAAAAAGCTTGCTGTTGAAACCTTGGCTGTGTACACAATCGTTTGGAGATAAAAAAGTTCCAGCTGTGTCCTGTTAACCGATGGTGTAAACCTGTCATTCTTGAGAAAGACACGCTCACAGATTTGGACTTAGTGGATGGGCATCTTTATCAGACTGTGCTTAAGAAGCTTGGGCGAGCATCTAGATTTAGAGAGCTGTGATGACAGTTCCTATTTGTGTGTTTGTTCAGCTCTTAGACAGATCTGATGATTTGTGTCTCTATAAATATAGGACTATTCTGGTTTGAGCTGCCTAGAATTCATCTGAACAGGTCTTAGCACAAATATGAGTTTCATCTGGTATTTGATATGCTTTTAAGTAAATTCAGTAGTATGCACTAACAAAAGCGTATTTGTTCTTTTTTTTTTTTAAGGAAGTGAGAGTTTAACGAATCCTAAAATTCATAACATGAGTAAAATAAGATCATACAGGAATATGAACTTTAGTATATAATTAAAAATGAAGAGTCTAAGGTGGTAGTTATAGCCTTATGAAATTCTTGTGGTTTAATTGTAAGTTCTGGCTTTTTTACCACAAAGAAAAATCACCACCAGGAAAAAGGAAAATGTTAACAAACCAAACTGTGGTCTTTTAGAATCCACAACAGCCATGACCTTTACTGTGAAAGCTCAAATGCACGTTCCTTATCACTCAAAGTGAAATGAAAATGAACTGAAAGAAAGCCATACATTATGCTTTGCAAAATTGTGAAATTAATATTCTAGCTATGTCACCTTCGCCTGCATCGGGATTGAGCAAGGGTGAGAGAGAGAGAGAAATCAATTCTACGAACTTTGGAGAATGTCAGAGTAAGAATCCACTGAAAACTTTTATTGTTGCATTGTTATTCATCCTGTTCAATGTTCTCACTGGTCTGGAGGGTGGTTTGGGGACGTGGTCAGAAAAGGGGGGAAGAAAGACAAAGAGGGAAAGTGCTTTGTCTTCCTTGTTGACCAAGAATAGACCAAAGACACGATAAAGTAAAACGCAGTGTGCATGTTCCTGCCAAGCTCAGAACTGTGTCCCACATTTGTAGCCATGGAATCACCAGGAAGTTGCTCCTCCATCCTGGTGTTTCCATTCCTTCTGGACCTCAAAGGAAGTCTTTTGACTGTTTTATTGGATTTGCATTGCCTACAGGAGATTAACTGCTGAAATTATTGTCTACACAACAGCATAAAAATAAAGAAAACTGAATAATGATCTCTTTATTTAATATAACCTTACTAAAATAAAAATTAAAGTGATATTGATGTCAGAAAGATGGCTTTATGCTGTTATCTCCTGGGAACGTAATTCTTTCAAAATGTGCCTGAAATCAAAAGAACAAATTTTTTAGGGGGTACAATTGAGAAACCCAAATACATCTGTGAAGAAGCACCAGAGGAAATTCTCTAATCACAAAGTTTCAGTACTGATATATGTCCAAGTTACTTATTTGAGTAGGTGGAACTTAAATTATCAAAGAGTGTAATTGCTCCAGTGCTAAAGTTAAAGCCAAAAAGCTTCCTTGACCACATTTCTCTGTGTCACTGTGTCGCACGTGTGCCTGTGTTTGTGAGTAGCCATTGGTGTCTCTGACCTCCTTAGCATCATTTGAAGCATCTTTGTTTTCAGCAAAGAAGCTCTTGAAAGAAATTTCCCATTTTCCCTTTCAATCTCGGACGGAAACAAATGATTTGGTTTTGTTTTTTGGTGGCTTTTTGTTTTTGTTTTTTTTTTAAATGGACTAAACTGTGTGATAAGTCCTAGTTCCTCAGCCACAACCTCTCATGCCATGATAGCTTACACCTCAAAGAGCAATTTAGGCAGGAAATTGGAACATTTGGTGTCACTGTAGGATGGGCAAATGTCCCCATGTCAATTGACACCGAGAGAAATGGGTCTGGGCCGGTGGCCTCCACAAGGGGCCACTTTGTTGTTGGAAGAAGTGTCGCACGTTCAGAAGACCTAAGTGAGATGCTGTCGGTAATCTAGGGCTGGCTGGGAAACACTCACGGACTACTCTGGTAATAATCCGCCTGCTCAAGTGAACCAAATACTAGGGCATAACTTGATTTAATTTGTTGTTTCAATGAGGCTATTACAGCGCATATCCTTTACCTACTCGAACAGAGAGAAGCTATCGTTGCCTCAGCGTGCACAAGAAAATATTATTCTCAAATTGAATTTATGGAAGTTCTGCAAGTGGAGCTTAGCTCCATGTTCCATGACGTTTTGCATCTTAGCTTCAGCAATTATAATAAGAGAGTGCTGGATGAAAAGAGCCTGTTTCAAGCCATGGTGTTAAGATAGCACAAGAAAAACATCAGAATCAAACATTTGTGACTGGTAGTTTCTTTCTTCTCTCTCGGCTTATGTGTTGACTGTGCATTCTAATATTAACAGCCTGATATCTAAACAACCACATGTTCTTCCCTGGCCCACTGTACAGACCAGGAGAAGAACACCATTTCCAGATGAGATTGACTGACACAGTGACTACAGCCCTGGACCCAAGTGTGTCAGAGATGCTGAAGGTAGAGCAGGACAGGACAGGGTTCAGGTCCGTCGTTCATAGGGTCACTGTGAACATTACTCAACTGGAAGGCACATAACAGCAACAACATTCCTTCAATCCCAAGCTCAATTTGTTAAATAAACCAGGGAGTATGCAAAAAAGTATAACTCTAATTTGAGAAGTTAAATTTAATTTTTCATCTTTAAATAAAAGCTGTGCCATAATGCAAACCATAAAACACGCTGTACAAATTATAAGATTAAGAAAGAAAAAGAAAGAACCCTTTTTTATTACCTTAGTTAAGTGGTCAAGTGGTATATGGAACAACTTTATGTATATTAAGCATTTTGTGGAAATTATTACTGTTTTAAAAAATGGGTTTGGTTTTAATTTTGAAGTCCTGAATATTACTGAGTTTTAAAAAGAAAACATTGTATTTTGAGGTAATATATTCTTTTTTTAAAAAAAGTGATTATAGTGCAACAATGAATGAATGAATGAAAATCCAAAGTCTGTAAATTTTCATTGAAATTAATAATAAATT